ACCTTCCTAATGCTGTGATCCTTTAATACAGTTCGTCATGATGTGGTGACTCCCCCAAGCATAAAATTATTTTCAGTGCTACTTCATAACTATAATTTTGAATTGTAATATAAACATCTGTGTTTTCCGGTGGTCTTAGGTCAGTCCTGTAATAGGGTCGTTTGATTTCCCCAAAGGGAGCAGTGACCCCACAGGTTGAGAACTACTGCTCTAAACTGATACATATAAATAAATAAATAGCACTTAAGAAAAAAATGGAATGAAATTCTTAAACCAGGAAACATTGGAAAATAGAAACAAAGGGATTATAGCAGAAATGCATTTAAAGAAAATGAAATTTTAAAAATGTTATCAATAAGCAGGGTGGTGGTGGTTCACACCATTAGTTCCAGCACTCGGGAGGCAGAGGCAGGCAGATCTCTGTGAGTTCAAGACCAGCCTGGTCTATAAAAGCTAGTTGCAGGACAGCCTCCAAAGCCACAGAGAAACCCTATCTCAAAAAAAACAAAAAAAATAAATGTTATCAGTAAATGATTTTTTTAAAGAGTAGGCACTGGTATTACTTTGTCCCACGTAAAATGTAAGCTACTGAGTACTATAATCTGACACATGGAGTTACAGCCAATGGCCTGTGAATCAAACCTCTGAGCTGACTTAACTGTGTCAACCAGGATGACACATATCTGCATAGGAGAGTTTGCTAATTGGACATTGAATATTTAGTAGTTCAAGCTATTCTCCCTAAACTGTACACCCACCAATTCTGCCTGTCTTCATTCACATGGAAGGAATTAATACATGCAGGGAAATTATGCAGAAAGTCACTCACCCTGCCCCATCAGGCCCTTCTTTATGATGGAGACCCCTGTGGCTCACTGCCTTAAACTTCAGTCCCTGATATGGCTATTGTCTAGCCTGTTTCCCACTACAGTGTACCCAGTACACTGTTCCTCCTCTTCTGATCTGAAGGGAGAAGCCATGCTCCACACACAAATCCTTTTCCTGTTACTGAAATGGACAGCCCACTATGTGACTCAAACTGGAAATTTTAGAACTCTGTGGTGCTGCAGACCTGTAATGCAAGAATTTAGGGTATTTAGTCAGGAGGATAACAAGGGCAATGCCCTGTGGGACTGCAGACAGGATTCAAGTCCACCTCAATTAATATAGGAGACTTTGTCTCATATATTTTTCAAAAAGACTGGAGAAGCCACTGTTCTAGAATTATTATAACTTTATGGCACACAGGGACTTAATGTTGGTTGTGACCCTGTAGTGTCCCCTTGAGCACCATGTTAGAGGGTTAGGATGGAGAGGAGGGCCTTTTGGCTGGCTGTCTCTTTTGTTATGGGAATGTAAAGGCTGATTAATCCTGGTGAACAAACATTTACATCTTATCACACTAATCTCTAGCAAGCATGGTTAGCATATTGATCTCTGGGGTATTTGGGATACAATCCTCCCTTACCTAAATTCTTTTTTTTTTAAGATTTTATTTATTATGTATCCAACATTCTGTTGTATACATTCTGCTTCCGTGTATATCTGCCCACCAGAAGAAGGCACCAGATCTCATAAGGGATGGTTGTGAGCCACAATGTGGTTGCTGGGAATTGAACTCAGGACCTCTGGAAGAACAGTCGGCGCTCTTAACCTCTGAGCCATCTCTCCAGCACCCCCTTACCTAAATTCTACTTTGTGTGACTTAATGACTCCTAAGAATTGGTAAATCCTTATACTATCAATTATATTACCATCAAGTCTACTCTTCTACATCACAGTTAGCAATGGCACACTACACTGGAGATTGTAGCACTAATTCTTTTTTTTTTCCAGTGATTAATAGATTTATTTATGCAAGAATAGTCATCCTTGCCAAATTTAGTATGACAACTTAAATGTTCTGTCCAGTTTTCCTTCCTGGATAAGTTTTTCCTTTCTGTCCCTGTCTGTTTTGAATACGTAATACCAGAAGATGAGGGGCCCAAAAGCTGCCAAGACTCCTAAAAGTGAGTTCTTGGGAGTGGGTCTGAAACTGGGATAAGTATTTGTTGATCTTGCATAGGTCCATCAAATCAAGGCAGGATCTTCGATGTGCGTTTGTCGTTTGGGGTCGTTTGGGGTCATTGTACTGAAGCAGATATTCCCATTTAAGCCTGGCCCTTATGCTCAAATGCTCGATCTGAGTCTTTCGGGTCTCCGGAGACAAGTCATATTCGGATGGGTGGAGGGTACTGGGGAGAGTGGCCAGGGGCGCAGTCTTAGATTTAGAACCCTCCATTCTTGGTTCTTGTAGCACTAATTCTAATTGATCTAAATAATAACAACCTGGAGTCAGATACAGGGGTTAATGGTGAAAGGTTAGAGAAGCCGAGCAGCCAGCCCCTAGTTCTTAACTCTATTGTATCCTCAGACCAAAATGGTGATCCTTTCCCTACGAATCCTCAGACAGAACACAATGAGCTTCTGTCTCCTCCTGCCTTATATTCCTCTCTTCACCCAGCCATATTACTCCTGTCTCCACCTCCCAAGTACTGGGATTAAAGGTCTGAGCCACCACTACATGGCTGTTTCTCTTTTAGACTGGATTAATCTGGTGTAGCCCAGAGTGGCCTTGAACTCACAGAGATCCGCCTGTCTCTGCCTCCCAAGTGCTGGGATTAAGGGTATGTGCAATCACTTCCTTGCCTCTATGACTAACTCCTGCCTAGCTCCACACTCTGATCTTCAGGCAAGCTTGGTTTTGGGGGTTTTTTTGGGGGGTGGGGGGTGGGGGGTTGTTGGTTGGTTGGTTGGTTGATTTGGTTTTTCGAGACAGGGTTTCTCTGTGTAGCTTTGGAACCTGACCTGGAACTCGATCAAAGTGACAGAGATCCACCTACCTCTGCCTCTCGAGTGCTGGAATTAAAGACATGTGCCACTACCACCTGGCAGGCTTTATTTGTTAAAGCACAAACAAAATACCACCACATTTGAAGATACCGTTTATAATCTCCACAAAATTAACTCCATATAGATCCTAAACCTAAATGTTAAAAGTGCAGAATTTCTGGAAGATACTAGAGAGACCAGTATTCTCCAAGTCTGGCAAATCTGTGACAATATAAGCACTACAGTGATCTCAATAACAAGAATATTTCTAAACACAGTTCCACTCCCAATCTTCTATGCAGACACAGCCCCTTGAGTGAAGTTATTCAGAGGCTGCCAGCCCAGCCCATGGAGTTGCATGGGTCACACAGGACAAGCTGGACCAGGCAGGACCAGGCAGGAATTCGGTGAACTCTGTGTCTGGCCACAGGCTCCCACCCAGCCAGGGGAGAACCAACTGTTTGACCCACAAAAACTCAAGTATCCGGGGTCACAGGCCACGTTCGCGGTCACCCCAATCACCAGGCAGATTCGAGAGCTTGCTGCAAACTGCACGAGGCTTTACTGTAATTTAACGAGCTAACCCCATGTTAGCTTGGGTCTTTTACCCACCCACCATGGCGGATGGCTAGAAAAGACGGCTCCTAGGGTCTCCCGAAAGATCTTATAGGGCAGCGTAAGGGGAGTGTCTAGGGGTACGCACAGGCTTACGATTGGTGTGCCTCCAGCCTTGGAGGGCTTGCCCTGTGTTGATTGGTCAACTGGTTGTTATGGCCCATAGGCCCTCCCAGGGTGGTTGCTATGCTCTCTACATCATTGCTGTGCGCTTGTCCGTAAAGCACACCCAGGGTCGTAAAGCATAGCGCCACCAGCTAACTTCTGATTGGTTCCTTGTCACGAGACAGGCATCTGACTTTCTAGTGACTAACTTCTGATTGTTTCCTTGTCACGAAGTAGGCATCTGACTTTCTAGTTTCTAGGACAAGGTCATAGAAGCACGTGTTCGGCCATTATGGCTGCCAAAAGGGAAGCTGGTCCCTTCACAACCACGCTGGCTTCCCAGCCTCAGCCAGACACTCCACCTAGTCTGGGAACAGTGCCCCTCACTCACCAAGACCAGCCACTCCTCCCCGCATGGAGACAGCAGCCCCGCACCCATCATGGCCAGCCACTCTCCCCACATGGGGCAGCGGCCCCTCACTCACCTTGGCACACCGCTACTCCCCCTCTGTGAAGAGCAGCGCCTTGCTCACCATAGTGCGGCTGAGGTGCTGACCAGGGGTCTTCCCAGAACCAAAAACACAGCACCCAAGATAACTTGGACTTCCTCAGGAAAAGAGCTGAGCAGAAAGCCTAGCTCGTGGAAGAACCCGCCCATTCTGACTGGGGGTCCGCTAGAGGTTCTGATTGGCTGGTGAAGCCTGAGTGACAGGACCAGGTGAGCAGAAGAGACTTAGCACAATGGTTCCCAGCCCTGACCTTCAATCTAAGGACAGACCTATCCCAGATTGGCTGGAGATTTGTGCCTAATTCAACACCAAGTCTCTTGTTAATGTAAATCAGTGGGTTCCGTTTTAAAAGGAAGCATACAAATTCAGAAGGCGGCTAATCAGACAGTTTTGCACAAGGTGTAACTCAAGAACGTTGTAAACAAAGTCCACAGTAGCACTGGGACTGATGACCACTGTAAGGATACATGCATTATTTTTGCCTGCTCCTGTCACCTGGCAGAATGCACTCAGGAAGTACCCTGGTCTTCTCACTTAGCTTCTGTCTGCCTGGAGTGTTTGTCCACCGACTCTGTCACCCTAACCAGCCATGGAAACCATGCAAGGTTCCCTTCAAGCTTTATCATAACAATCACAGCCCCTTGTGTGAAAAGTGTTGGGTTCTCAGGATCTGAAGCAACCCCTTCCCAAAGTCCCTGGATCCAGATCATTATCAGCTCTCCCAAGTATATTCCCAGTATTAGAGAGATGGAGCTCTCTTTTTGCTCCATCAGGGCCCTCTAAGGTTTAGAGGTTTCTCTAAAACCTCCCTGTTATTTTTTTAAAAATACTGTTTAATGGAAAGGTTAATGAAAAAACACCCCTGATAAAGCAATAAGCCAATCAGTCCGAATTAATAAATCAAAGTTTAATCTGAGCAAAGAATTCCTGGGTGGCCCCAGGGGAACAGAAAACAAGAAACCACAAGGTGAATCCAGAGGTGGGGGCTTTTAATGCTCTCCGGGGGTGGAGCCACCAATAGAAGGATGGGTTAGGATTTTAGGGGTGGAGTCTGGACTGAAGTGAGGGAGTGGACACCACCCTTGGCACTTTGAGGGCGGGTTTGGGACAGGGCTACCAACCATTCCAACCTCTTTGTAAAGCCAGTATGGCTTCCACCTAAACATCCCAGACTCCTTGGGTATAGGGGCGTCGGTTTAAATCTGGCTTCTTCCTGCTGACAAGGGACCATGTGGGGAGGGAGAAAGTCTGAAGTAGGTGAGCTCACATTCAGCAGGAGGTATGGGTGGAGAAGTTTTCAGTTAACTGCCAGCCTGTAGACCTCAGGCGTCTGTTTCTTGAGGGAGCTGAGAAGGCAGGTTCCAAGGAGAAAAAAGTAGATTGTTATCATTGGCCCTATGTATGGGGCTAGCCATGGGAGAGGTGACAACTGCCAGAGTGAATGGAATGGAGAAGTATCCTGGTTGTACAGAAGAGGCAAGGGAGACATGAGGGGGGTATGACCTTTAAAACCAGATTTCAGTTGTTGGGTAGGTGCCCATTTGAGCTTGTAGAGGTGGTACAAATGGTGAAGTCTCAGGAGCTAATGAAGGTGCTGGCATTATCTGGAGGACCCTCTATGGCCTGGCCTTGACCAAGGCAGGATGAGTGAACCTGAAAGATATACTGAAAATAGGTGGGGTCAAAATGGGCTCTGGAGACTGTTTTCACCAGACCAGATCTCTTGATACAGAAGCAGAACTTCTCCCAAGAACTCACAGGTAACTGTAAGACAGCTGGAACAGATTTACATCTTGATGTCATAGCAAAAGGCTATGGCTTTAGGTTAAAAGGTATGAACATTTTTAGAAAACAACCAGAGGAAATTCAAAACTCTGAACCTCTGAAGTTACATCTGAAACCTGTTAATCCCCGACTATGAAGCCAGTGAAAGAGGCACACTTGTCTGTACTTTTAGCAGGAAACTTAACTAATGAACTAATGAGCTACAGGTAGCCTAGTCACCAAACAACATCAGATAGGTCTGAGAGGGATAAATAAATTAGCAGAAGTGAGACAGCTTTCCAGCTATGTAGGTGATCCCAAGTCTCTGTGGTCTTTGGGGAACACAAGTCCCAGACCAAAGCAGTACTTTGCCTTTAGCTGCTAAGCCCAGAAGGCCTGACAGATTTTCCTGTGTGGTTAGGGATTGGTCTACCTGTCTTGGCTGGATGAGACGATCAGTTCCCTCAGCATCCTGTTGTCCAATCCAGGCGGGGACTAGGCAGTAGAGGTGAAAGGCTATGTGACTGGCTTTGTCACATCCAAAGCAGGCCTCCAGGTGGAAGTTTTTCTGCAGCCATCCATTTTTTTTGGAGGAGATACAGGGTGCAGTCAGAATCTGGCATGTCTGTCTGTCATAAAACACTTTTTTGTTGTTAAATGTCATACTCTAAAATCTGTAAAGGAATTTGAGAATCAGTGTACCTTTACCTGTCAGATATAAATAAATTAGACAAAAGTTGTTTCAGTTAAATCCAGTAGAAGGTAAAAACCAAGCTAAACAATTTAGTATTTTGCCACCAAATCACTTGTGTTAGTGTGCTCACCTCCATCCCTACCCAGAGACCACCCTTCCAGCAGCTTTAGGTGAACAAGTACTACTGACAGATATTGTGTACAGTTGGCTTGTCCCCAGAATAGTGGAGGGCCCAGGAAGGTGAGAAATATTCTACATCTTTATGCCAACCAGACACAGCGGGAAGCACCTATAATTCCAGAATTTGTGAAGCTGAGGTAAGAAGATGGTGGACTGAAATCTAGACTAGGCAAGACCCTATCTCAAGAACTGGAGGGGAAATTTTTGCCAGGTGCAGACCAGTGGACTGAGGAGGAAGCGAAATGCTCTGGCAGGGAGGGGGTGCCAGGGCACAGTTGGGATAGGGCTCTAGGGAGAATTCTCTCCACAGGTGCACATGCAGGTGCTTGCCACACTTGATCTATCTGCCCAATGGCACAGCCATCTGCTGATGGTATGTGGGATCTCCTGCAAAGAAGGGGTGTTTAGAGGAGGAGACTGCCACTTCCATGAGCATTCTCAGTCCCTATCCCATGTTGACAATCCTACTGATCTTCATGCTGTCTTCCTTAATGACATCAGCCTGAACACCATTACAGGGCCTGTAGCGTGGACTATTGTTATATAGGATTGAGGTAAAGGATTTGCCATTCCAAGCCTTGAAGAGAACCAGCCCTGCAGGAAGAGAGGATGATTTGTTTGCAGAATGGTGTCTGCATGCCTTCCCTGTTTGCCTGGCACCAGATTCCTATAAGGCAGCAATATCTGCCACACCCACCACACCCACACCTACCAAAGATGGAGGTCCCCTAAGTGTATAGGCACCAAAAGAGAAGATGTAAGAGTGTTCAGCAGTGACAAAGATCATTGTGTCCTGCTCACTGGTGAGCAAACTCAAACATGACCACCTTAGCAAGTGCACAATAAGGTATAGAAACATGGTGGCCATGCTTGATGGATGTAGCCCGATGCAGGAAACCAGTGATGCATGAGCCTGTCTTGGACTCTGTCTCTCCTCTTTTCTCCTGGTCACAACCACCCACCTTCCACCAAGAGATAGGAATCTTAAGGGTTCCTGCTCAGCATGGGCACAGCCACTTCTATTACCTCTACCATGGAAGGGTCCTGAGTAGGGTCCTGAGTAGATGTCATATCTCATGTGTTCAGGGTCAAAGAGGCCTGAAGAATAAGAAAATCCATGGTGAACATGAGACCGGGTAGTAGGGATATCAACACACACACACACACACACACACACACACACACACACACACACACACACACACACACACTCTCCTATTGAAGGGTTCCAGGGCAAGAAATAGGAGTTATTATCCATTAGGTGTGTCACAGATGGGTTACTGAATGAGCTCTGTGTGGTCACAAACATATTTGGCTCCCTGTAGGGACACATCCAATCTACTAAGCACATATCTTCAAATACACAACCCTCATTATTTCCTGACATGTACTTTGCTTTAGTGCCCCTGATACCTGGTGCTTTTCCAGCCACTCTTGAATAAGGTTCCAGCCTGGCCAGTGTTAGCTAGATATTACTGCTCTGGTGTCTCCTTGGGAAACATATACTTGTGGCCACCACTGAGGATCAGAGGTGAACTTGGGACCCAACTGATTCTGTATTCCCCACTAACAGCACCTGGTCCCAACAGGTCTGAGAGAAGGGACTCTCTTGGGCTGCATCTTCTTTATCCACCCCCACCAACCCCTGGCTACCCTAGAGGGCTCAGAACTCAGATTGTGGGGTGAATAGTCTACAGTGAGTGACACCTTGCTCCAGCCCAACTCCCTCACTTTTGGAGCTCACATCAATGTCCATGTTGGAGATGAACTGTAGAGAGATGTCCTTGCAGCCCTCCTTCAGCACCGAGGCAGATATTTCTGCTTTCAAGTGCCAAGTATGGTTCAATGTGTGTACTTAGATGCTATCTGGAGAGGCATGCTGCACCAAATTAGTGGTCAGCATTCTCACTGCCTTTCTTGCCGAAGATATCAGGTGAGCCACCCAGTACCCAAGATGTGCCCATGTCCTAAAGCCTTGTCCCAGCCGCCTGCATTCTTAGTGCAGTTACATCACAGAGATGACTTCATTCCCCATGTTGTGTTGCAATGGCCGAATTGTGTAGCTGCACTGAAGCCACTAATCTTGAAATTGGTTTTGATACCTGCACTCCAAAAGCAGTAGTCAGTATGAGGACGGGTGTTTTCCTTGCTCTGTGTAGGTCTGGCTCCAGTCAATGCTGTTGAGGGCAAATCCTACACCTCCATGACAATGGCCTAGGCCATGTGCTTAATTTTAGCAACTGAACCAATGTCATCCATACTGAGAATGGTAAGTGCCACAATGTTGCCTAAGTAGTGGGGCTACAGACAGCGACAAGGGCAAATGGCCACTGCTCGTCTTGAACACTCTGTCTCCCTAGGTGACCCCCTCATACCTCACACAGCTGTACCCTGTCATCAGAGATGCATGGCAGGGAGGATGTAGCATATTCCTGCGTGGTCCACAGGCTCACCTGGTGCAGAGTGCAGGAGCAGAACCACATCTCCCACTTCATGGCCTCTGCGGCACCTGGAGTCCTACACTGACTGTGGTCTGGAGCCCCCTGCTGGCCAGAGCAGAGCCATCACCCAAGGCCAGACCACAATCACCTCCAGGGACAAATGCAAATCTGAAGTCACAAACTGTTGGGACCCAGGCCCCACAGGGTCTCTGTGAGTTGTTTTCTGGCATAACCACAGGTACCTACTATTTTCCTTGCCTCGACCACTAACATCCTGTTATGAACCTTTCGAAGGGACCAGCTCCCCATTTCGGCAGCCATGACAGTAACACGTACCCACTTTGACCTTGCCTTGGTCACTTGGCTCCTCGTGGCAAGGAGCCAATCAGAAGTTAGCTCGTGGCGCTATGCTTTATAGCACTGGCTGTACTTTATGGACAAGCGCATAGCAATGATGCACAGAGCATAGCAACCACCCTGGGAGGGCCTATGGGCCATAACAACCAATTGGCCAATCAACACAGGGCAAGCCCTCCAAGCCTGGAGGCACACCAATCCTGAGCCTGTGCATACCCCTAGACACTCCCCTTACATTGCCCTACATGATCGCTCGGCAGCCAGTTCGAGGTGTCTTTTGCTAGCCATCCACCATGGTGGGTGGGTGAAAGACCCGAGCTAACATAGGGTTAGCTGGTTAAAAAAAACAATAAAGCCTCATGCAGTTTGCATCAAGCTCTGGAATCTGCCTGGTGATTGGGGTGACCGTGGTCGTGGCCTGGGACCCCGGATACCTGAGTTTTCCAGGGGGGTCTAACACTTTCTTGTTATTGAAACACTATGCCTTGCCCCCATCCCATTCTTGCTTCGTTGGCCATGGACAGGGTTTGTGGTTTCCTTGTTTATGATGGGGCATGGGAGTGTGTTCTTCTAGCAGGTGATGTTTTCCCATCTCCTCTTGTATATAAACTGCTGGCTGCAATAAACCGATGGCATTCACTTCTACCGAATGACCCAAGTTGTGTCCTTCTTAATCCACAGACTCTCGCCTGGTCCGGTTCTTTGGTCGCTGGCGCTGGCGCCAACACCAGCACTGGTGACAACAAACAGCTCTGCAGGCCAGGCCACTGTCCTACTGTCCCCGTAGCTGCTTGCTGGTCAGCATGCTGCTGCTAGTAGTGAAGGGACCAGCTCCCCATTTCGGCAGCCATAACAGCTGAACACATATTTGTCTGAGTTTGTCTTAGTCACTAAGGTCAGATGCCTGCTCCTTTCGGCAGCCATAACAGCTGAATACATGCTTGTCTGACCTTCTCTTAGTCACTAGGAAGTCAAATGCCTGCCTCATGGCAAGGAACCAATCAGAAGTTAGCTGGTGGTGCTACACTTTTCGGCTCTGGGTGTGCTTTACGGACAAGCACACAGCAATGACATGCAGAGCATAGCAACCACCCTGGAAGGGCCTATGGGCCATAACAACCAGTTGACCAATCAACACAGGGCAAGGCCTCCCAGCCTGGAGGCACACCAATCCTGAGCCTGTGCATACCCCTATACACTCCCCTTATGCTGCCCTATAAGATCTCTATGCAGACACTTCGAGCTGTCTTTCCTATCCATCCACCATGGCGGATGGATGGAAGGCCAGAGCTAACATGTTTTAGCTCGTTAAACAACTATAATAAAGCCTCATGCTGTTTGCATCAAGCTTTTGACTCCACATGGTGATTGGGGTGACCGAGGTCCTGGGCTGAGATCCTGGAGGCCTGAGCTTTCCAGGGGTCTTAGAGTAGGAGCAATCATGGTGGAGTCCTACAGTCTGGTCCCCTGCTGGGCTCCTCCCCGGGGTCCCACCACTGGCTCCTTTCACCACTACCACTCATGGCTTCCTTTGCCCTATCAAGTCCAGTGTTCACCATACTCCACCCAAGGGTCTTACTGCTGGGTTTTGTGCCACAACTTGGTAGTTCTTTTATCCATACATTGAGACACCAACTCAGCCCACAGCTCTAGGAACCCCCCCCCTCTGAACAGGGCTTCTGCTTCTCAAATGGCTGCCCCCAGAGTGGGAGGTACCAATTGGTACCCAAGAGACTGAGGCCCAGGGTTGCCCTAGACTCCACTTCACACCTTTCACAGGGACCCCAGGATCTTAGCTTTTCAGGCCTTGGTTTGCATTCATGCTCTTTCCATGAAAGGAAATCCAAGCAGAGGTCCAGGAAGTTGTGGGGTCTCAGCAAGCAGCCCAAAGCAGCCCTCTGTCTATCTCAGGCTGCACATAGATACTGTACAAAGAATATTCCCCACCCTCAGGGCTGCCAGTCCTTGTAGAGACATAACAATAATATCAAGAAAATAAACCACAGTAAAAGTTGGCAAAGATATAGAAAAAAAAACTCTACTCCTTGTTGGTGGCAGTGTAACCTGATTCTGTCACTGTAGAAAATAGTGTGGGGGTTTCTCAATAAACTAAAAATATAACTACTGTATAATATAGCTGTAGTATATGGTATACCTGCATGTATACCTGAAGTACTCTATATTCTACCCAAAAAATGCTGGGACATCCATACTAGTTTGTCCCGCGCGATCGTCTCGCCAGCAAGAACAACACAGGACACTCGGATCCTTCTGCAGTAAAGCTTTAATGCATCTTGAGAGACAGATGATCAGTTTCCGATTAGGGAGACCCCGAGCCAAGAATCCCGTCCCCTTATAAAGGCTCATAAGCTCCGAGCAGTGCATGTACAGCTGGGATAGGTGGATGACTCATCACCCTATATGACGCCACGGGAGGGGCAATACTAGGCAAGTGGAAAAACACTGGGCACATGTGCACCAACGTTGTTTACTTGATCCCGCAGCGGATGTCAGCGCCATCTTGTAATGGCGAATGGCGGCTCCTCACATCTCCCCCTATATAATTATATAGAAACACAGAGGCTATAGGCCAGCCAAATGCAGAGTGGAGATAGAGGTCAACTCCCCAAAACTGGATGCAGACCTTGTCTTGAGCAGGACTCCAGACTTTGTG